TCGGAAGTAGCTATATATCTGTATTTTTGTCCTCGCAACATATAGCAATCCAAGTACACACACACATACACACACACATACAGACACACTAACTGCAAAGACTCCCATTTTGTGCTTCGCACATGGGAGTCAAAAAAGAGGATCCATGTTGAATAAAACATGCATGAAAAAAATCAACTTGATAAAATTTGGTCTCAGTGCTCACCGACAGAAAAAAGGATTTCCTTAAAATGGTTATATAGCTATGTACATGGCAAGTGTATTCCCATACAAAAAAACTGAAAGTGTGAATAACTATTTTATGCACTTTAAAGTTATAACAAAGTTAGTTGCATTGTATACTCGTTATCTGAATGAAGCATAAGCAATAAATCATTCATTTCAATAAATCAACTTTTCTTCTGGCATGCTGTTCACTCAAAAATACAGTCCTGAGGTAAAGAAATTAACGAACTATTGGTATCCCTGACCTTGAAAATATGAAATAAAAGAAAATTGAAGATACAATAAATTTACACAGTATGTATGTATGGCAGTTTTTATCCCTTTGTACTAAACAAAGTCTTGAGTTCATCGTCAGTTGTGTTACTAGTTTTCTGTATTAGCTCCTGATCACCAGCGGTTACACCCCAACAATCCGGCTTGGATAAACTTGCAGAGAATGGCCGACCTGAAGAAGGTTTCAAATTTTTCCAGTAGGTTTGGCGAGCCCTGTTGAAATGAAACAAATAAAAAAAACATGTACTCTATTACAATGTGTTATGCTAAAAACCTTAGATTCAAGTGAATATGTAGTCACATTCATTTAATTAAAGACATGGCATTAGGCCATCTTGAATGGGCATGTCCGAGATACATGTGGAGGTCAAAAAATAAGTTTTCAGACTACCGGTATGTTTGAACATGGACTAAAAACTAACCAGGTTCCAGTTATGTTTCAAACAGGTATCAATCACATTTCACATAGATTGGTGATGTGAAGTTCAAACCAAAAATATTCAACTATTTTTATTTGGCCATATTTTGTACTGTATATTTGATCATTATTATTCGCTGCCTTTGCAAAAAAGTCTCCAGCTTTTTACAAGGTACTAGTAGTAAGTAATGATGGATTACGCAAAATATTCAATATTCTTAGAACTCCAACCCAGTGTCAGAATGCAATTCTGCAACAACTGCGTCAATTCACGAAATATAGAAACAAAGTTTTCAGTGCTAACTGTGTACTTCACTGCAGACTTTGAATGATTTGTTCAATGTTTGTACAAAATTATTAAGCCATGACTGTTACAAATATGTCTGTCACTATATTTCATGTTAACTGCTTTGTTTTAAATGAGATTAATGTTATGAATATTCATAAGTCAAATTACTGCTGTTCAATTGTGGGTGGGAGGGTGAGAGGGTGGGCCAAGGAGTACATAGCAATTATATGAAAAGGTGAGTGCATGCATGAAAGAGTGCAAGGAAAGTAAGAAGGAGGTTAATGAACCTCTTTTTTTTTGCAAATTACAGATAACATTTTAATTGCAAATTATCTCATGTAGTCAAAAAGTAAATTGATAATTTTATCATTACTGAAAACAATGAGTACATACCTAGCTCTGACCCATGGTTTGGTATGTAGCCTGAGACCATCACCCCATGGGGCATGCTTCTCAGATCCTGGAGGCAAGAAACCACGTTCTGGTGCTAATTCTTCACAAACAGCACGTATATGGTACGGTTCGAAACCACAACAACCTCCGATGAAACGCACACCCAAATTATAAGCTTCACGTGCATATGCTTGTATTTCCCAGCGTGTGCACACACGTGGTTCCAAAGCTGAAAAATAAATAAGAATTAACTGACCTGATAATGCATTTTTTAACAATGTATGCACAGAAATGTCTCCAAGCTATTGTGGGTAAGACTGAAGAGAACAAATCACCACATTATATACCAATGTATGCGACTTTGGGAAAACTTGGATAAGGTACGTCCATTGATGATTGTGTTTCGATCAGGCTTATATGATACAGGGATAATGCATTTTGACATAATGTCTTTTGGCAGAGAGTTTGCCACATAGCTCTGCCATGCAATAGTCCCAAGCATGGAATATGAAGTGTCTGGCAAAATACACTGACATTCCATGTCAAGAACTGCGACTTAAAAACAAACATAAAAGTGCTAAAGAACTCCAGAGGGCGCAACACATTTTGAAGTATTTGAGTTGCTTAATTTTACAGAACAAAGTTATGAAACAAAGCAACTTACCAAATGGAAATTCCGGTAAATCAATAAATCCTTGTTTATTAACATCTGGAGTATGATATGCTAATGGTTGAGTCATCAAGTGAGCTTTGAGTCCGGCAGCATCCAAGGCAGTCTTCATTTTACGTACAGCAGCAAGAGTGATATCAGGGTCAAAATGGCAATTAATACCTACAATATCTGCACCTGTAAACGTATTGAAATATGGGAGTGATCAATGTCAATTTTGTACTCACAAATTCGCCCCCAAGAATTTTATTTCAAGAGCCTGCCTTTAATTTCAGACAATCGGAGCATCCACATTTTTATTAAAAGGGAAGAATCCAGGAATACCATCATCCATGAAGTATGTAATATGTTATTGCTTATATCCAGTACTAAAAGTATCTTACCTGCTTTAACTAATCTGACAGCGCATTCACCAGTTGACACTCCATGCAGATCACCATCAGGTCCTATACATAGCGTAGTGGCAACTGGTAAACCAGTAGCTTTACATACTTCTGTTGCCCATTCAGCCTCTTCTACGTGCTCAAAATACTACAAAATAATTACAATTATTTTCAGTGCATTGGATCCAGTGAAATAAAACTACAACAAATAGCGTGTTCAATTACTGAGTTTTTTTATTATAAAAAACCAGATGCAAAAACCGCATAGAAAAAGCATTCACAATTTTTACTATAGTAAGATTTCAACATTGTTCTGATTACACTGGTTACATGCCAATTCAAAAGTGACAATCATACAAGTCTTAAACTATGTAACGTCTTCTAACATCAAATAAGTTTAACATAAAACCTTACCTCTGCTATAAGGAAATCTACTTTATTCTCCATGAACACATGCATTTGTTTCTGAAACTCCTTCTGGGTAAATTCTTTGCCTTTACCGCTGAGATATGTTGGTGTTTGTGACACGCCTCCAGCCACCAAAGCACCACCTTCGTTTGCCACCTCCCTGGCTATTAGACAGGCTTCATTGTTTACATTGTAACCCTGTGCAGAAATAAATTAAATTGTATAATTGTTGCACAATATAACTTAGTTCCAAATATTAATATAATTCAGTTCAACGATTTGATCAACATTTTTGAAACACCCCATTCCACCATAAAACAGTAAAGCTGTAAGTATATTGCAAGATCAATTTCTATAATATATATATCGCTATCATGCCCGGAAATGTTGGTGGGTAATGTAATAACTCTGGATCAAGACACGTTCGTTTACTTACAGTCATTTTCTTAGGGTCCATATTTCCCCTGTTCTGCAACTTATCATCACTAGCATAGAAAGTAAATGTTTGCATAACGTCAGCACCAGCACGGAGAAATTCCCGATGCAGTTGACGAACTGGAGAACAAAACAAAACATTAGGTTAATACTATAGAAGTTCAAGTGTATATATACTACAATACCGTAATGTTAATCAAAAGCAAATTATATTTTTCAAATTCCTTTCTTAGTATACATTATGACTTATGATTGGCTGAAGTTTGTATCTCATGTTCCTGAACTGGCAGGAAATTGGACAACAAAAACAAGGTAGACAAACCACTCTTGCTATAACAATAGCTTTTATATTGTTAGTGTGTATGGAGTGGAGTAGACTGGCGCAGTATAACAAATTTTGTGAAATGGAGGTGTTAGTGCGAAATCACCCCGACTGGTTTATTCAGCAGGAAATTCATCACACCTCCATTTCAGGAATTGTTTTTATATTTTATTTAAACTACAAAAACAAATTAATCACCCGACTGCGCCAGTCTAGGAGTGGAGCATAGAAAACTACTACAACCTTGTCTATTGAGAATCTAGATTGAATATTATAATAAATGGATGGATACAAACAATGTAACTTTTGCTTTGCATGGCAAAATTAAGTATAATCAAAGAAAGCTTAGAAAGAACTCCCATGTGCTGAGAGTATTGGAGACACATTAAATATAATTCGAAATTACTTAGCTGAAAACTAATTATGCAAATCAGAAAATTAATATGACCAGATTTGAGTGTAAAACTAATGAGGTCTGCGCAATGTAACAGAAAATCTATGTCTCCAAGTTTAATTGAAATGTGATTAGAACCAAAAAATTATGAATTATTATGCTTATTAGGGAATTAATATGAACAGATTTTTACCCCAAACTAATTAGGTTTGTACATTGTCCTAGAGCATCTTTGTACTAAGTTTCATTGAAATGGAATAATTAGTACCGTGAAAACTCCAAAATTTCGACCCCTCTAAAAATTCGATTGGCTATTTATTTGCCGGGTTTCGGTGTTTTATTTACCTCCAAATTTTCGACTCCACTAAAAATTGCCGACTCATTCTTATTCGAAAATTGCGACCAGTTTTAGTTTTCCCCCAAACGAAAAAAAAAACCGATGTGAGCGTCAAAC